GCGTTTGGACCAATGTCGTGCTCGCATTCGGTATGAGACCAAATGACACGAGCTCCGGCATCATGTCTCCAAACACTTCATCGATCCAGCCATCACCACCGTGGCTGGGAGAAAGGGCATGATTCTCATACTCGGCAACAGGATCAAATACCGAAGAGAAATTTGAATCCAGGAAGGTAGCTTCCGGCTGATCTGTATTGGTAGAGTGCCTGGTCGTTGATGGCTGTAGATTCTGTCTCGTATGTGTAGTTCGCTTTTGGACTCTGTTATCAGGACGAGCTTGGTGCTTTTGTGACCATCTCAGGCGAATGATTGGCCCAGAGCAGTTCATGTCGAGGCGGGTACATCTTCCGCAAGACGGCCAAGTTTCATCGCACTTCAACTGTCATGATGAATCTGTCAGCGCGTTTGTGTATGGGCGTCAAGTGTATCGTCACTGCACTTACCCTTTGGGACTTGCATGCGGCACATCCACTGCGCGATCGAGCCCCAGTGGGCATTTTGCGTCTGGAACCAGATGTCAGCTTTTGTTAGTGGGTTTGACTATGCTCGATCATCGCAAAAAGAATCATCGTATGAGAGTATGCAGGAGCATGGTCGGAGCTGGCTTTGTGGGGAAGGGCAAGCTAAATAGGTCCGGATTCGGGGACATTGGTCCCTGACTCAAGCCATTTAGCGTGCTCAGACTTACGCTCCAGTATCCCAGTCGCCCTGACCCACGCTATAACACAGCGAAGCCAGTGAGTAGTCAGGAGTCTATCTTGCTATCAAGACAAGATCGTGAGGAGCGGAACAGATCATGTTGAATGAATTCACCACTAAAATAGAGCTAAAATAGAGCCTACCGTAAGTAATCGATAGCAGACTATCCGGTCAGTAAACTGTCGCATTTCCACACTTCAATGAATAAATAGACAAGCTATGGCAAACGCCCGACACAAAGGTAAAGAACACAGTGTAATACTGACAACAAGGTTAAATTAAAGTCAATTAGTTCGTTGCTGGGTCTAGCAATTACATAATCAACAGAGACGTTCCACGATTCTCCATCAACACTTGAAACTCAAATGGTCCAAATATCGCTGGATTCATTTCAGCCCAGAACAAGTAAAGACTTTGCTGCAGGACTTCTAGATGTCGCATCTTGTAACGCGACCTGCTGAGAAATTCGACAAGCTTTCTGTGATAGAACTCATCGGTGAGTGAAGATCCAGCGACAGTCAACGCCCAAACGATATGGGTTGCATATGATGAGTTCTCGAGCTGCACAGCTGTGTCGATCACAAACTTGGCCAATGTTTCAATACTCCCGTGGTCTAACTGCTCGTATCTCGTTATAGCGCAGTCTAGAAAGATTGCCAACGCGGTGCGCATTACGTCACCGGCCATTATCCGTTCCGAGCTTGCTTCGGCTATCGTCCAAGACTGAATAGTATCTTGCAACATCTCATAGGTTACCCAAAGTTCGGGGGGCAAGTTTTCTAAGCCCAGTGACTCCAATGTTGAACGTGATGAGTACAGCCTTTGTATAAGTGGGATAATTTCGAATAACGAATGTGAACCTGCCAGCATGGAACCAAAACATGGCGAATTTGTCAGTGGGCGAAGGTGGTCGGTTATTGATTCACATAATAACTCATCATCCCCAATCGATTGAGTTGTGTTGCAGGAAGCGAGAAATATGAACCCTTCATATGCGAAGCTCAACATCATATCGAATTCTTGTAAGTCGAGCGGAGGCCTGTATCCAAGGCCGAGGAGGTGTAGCAAGAGATGGCGATTGGCGTTCAGGTGAAGGCATAAGTTAGAATTTGGTGTGCTCATTAAAACCTAGCATTTTATTATTGTCTGTTCAAAGTCTCCATCATTTATGAAACTGACCTCATATTGTGATAAGAATGAGATAGCCAACAACAGGCGGAGAACATCAGATTTATCAATGACTTGGCCGGCGCCGATGACTTCTTGAACACCACGTATGGCATGCAGATAGTGCTTTCGTGTCGCCATCTCCACATCCGTCGCATCTTGTAGTCTGAACGACAAATGTGCACCGCTGGCAGCAAGGACTGAGTGCATAATTACATCGTCGGCCTCGGCAGGAGGGAGAACAAAAGAGATGAATGGATTTATAGAGGGCTTCCCAGCTGGTAATATCACAGCTGTCACAAAAGTGCAATGTTGTAATAGGAGCAATGAAACGTTGGTAAGGCTACATGCTTTGTTGCCAAGGAGCCGATTGTTGTGGTTTGAGTGGGCAAACGTTTCAGTTCTGGGCTGTAACTGAAGCGCTGCGGTTTGCTTATCTTGAAGCCAGGTACAGCCTAGTCCATTTCTTCGGCAGGCACTGCACTGGGGTTTGTTTTCATCGCACTTCTTCTTTCTTGAACGGCAAGTAAGGCATCCCGTTTTGGTGCGACGTTGCCAGACTCGGAATGTCGTCGGATATCGAGGAGCTGCCCGGGATGAGGGAGCTTGAGTCATGTCCATCATCCAATAGAGAGTGGCTGAGCCGTAATACTCCTCTAAAAATGCAAGAACGTTGGGAGGAGAATCTAAGAACAGAAGGGAGAAAGTTGTTAGTCCAGCGACCAGTGAGTGGAACAAGGGTCAAGAGAGTTCTTATCTTATCGAGCCGCGCTGCGGGGAGAATTCTTTGCCTTCATTGGCGGACATGGCGTGCTAAGCCAAAGAGGGTTAGATGATGGATATCTCTGTGGGTTGATCAGGAACCAACGAGGTTCACACGATAGCGGCTCGATAACATGATGAAACTCTCAAGTTCTCGGTAGAACGGCCATGATATCTATAAAAGACTGAGTACTTTCCATCCAAAAGACACAAACTGTTAATCACATCTCATCCAAGTATACACCCTTGAAAAATGACACAAGCCTTCCAAGTCGTTATTGTTGGTGCCGGACTGAGCGGTCTCCGAGCTGCAAGGGAAGTCCACAATGCCGGTCTGTCTTATATCGTCCTTGAAGCCATGGACCGTGTCGGAGGCAAGACATTGTCCGTTCAGGTCTCTGAAGACAATGGAATTGTTGACCTAGGCGCTTCATGGATCAACGATACAAGCCAGAGCGAGATTTACAAGCTGGCCAAAGAGTTTGACTTCGATCTTGTTGAGCAGCGTACAGAGGGGCGTAGTCTGTACAGAGATGAAACGGGAGAGGTTCATTGCATCCCTTTTGAGCTGCCAGCAAATGTGAGTTTGTCGTGCCACTCTGATGAGCCAGTCTGACCATGCCTAGCTTGAGCCGGAACAACTGAAGGAAGTCGACCAATTCATGCAGCTCCTTTCCGAGTATGCTGAGAAATGCGACACCGGCAATCCTTCCGACGGACCAGACGCAACGCAACTGGATTCCATCACCGTCGCCGAGTTCATCGCAGGATTTAATGATCCTGGTGCTTCAGCCCTCGTCAACAGCATCACTCGCAGCTTACTCGGCGTGGAAAGCGATGAACCCAGCGCTCTGTTCTTTCTCGACATATTGAAACGAGGAACCGGTCTGAAGAATGTTATATCTGACTTTCAGGATGGAGCTCAGTATCTTCGTAATCGACATGGTAAGCTTTGGCAACGATTTGGCTGGGATTTGACTGACGATATGGATAGGCAATCAATCATTCTGTGATCGCCTTGCTGCTGGTCTAAATGCAGGAGGCGTGAAGGTCTCAAGCGCTGTTAAGGCCATTAAGCAGAAGGAGGGCGAGGGCTGCGTAGTTGAGACTATTCACGGCGATGTCTACAGAGCAGACAAGGTAATCGTTTCAGTGCCAACACCATTGTACCCTCTCATCCACTTCGAGCCAAGTCTTCCACCAGCCAAGAAGGCACTCAGCGAGTCTGCCAAGTCAGGATATTACACCAAAACGGTTCTTGTATATATAGAGCCATGGTGGCATTCCGAAGGTCTCTCAGGCGTATATAGCTCCGCCGACGGTCCAGTCGTCTTCACGCACGACACTTGCGTTCCTCAAGATGGTCAATACAGCATAACTTGCTTTCACGCTGGCAATCCAGGGAGGAAGTGGTCAAGACTACCAGCTGAACAACGAAAGAAGATTGTTTTGCAAGACATTCGCACTGCATTTGGCACTGTTGTGGATACTGTACCCGAACCTATTAATGTCATTGAGAAGGATTGGACGAAGGATCCTTGGGCTCAAGGTGGACCTGGTCCTGTTTGGAGGCCTGGATTCTTGGCGGGTGAGTCTGGAAAGGCTATTGCTGAGCCGTTTGGGAATATTCATTTTGTTGGAACGGAGACAGCTTCGTTTTGGAGGGGGTACATGGATGGTGCTGTGAGATCGGGCATTCGGGGAGGTCAGGAAGTTGTGGCGCAACTCAATATCTCGACATAGTTTATTCAAGAACTTGAGGGTTTGGAACTGTTTCGGTGGAGAGATTTAAATATATCGCAGATCGCATCGTATTTCCTACTTCCTTTAAAACGCCAGCAAATCATGACATTGAAGGCCTGAATGTGAATTGCCGCTTTTTGGTAACTTCGACAGCTAACAGCGGTACTTGCCACGTTCACCTCATTACCAATCCGATATTCGAAAGGCGTAGAGAGGTTACTAAAATATGTATTGTGTACTCCTAAGCCCTCAACATAAAAATCGTATCACCCATGTATCAATTAGCGGATAACATGGACCTCAACAGTCAGCCTTATGTATGAGGCTCTACCCGTATGTCACTTACAGGGGTGACCGTGCGGGCCTATCAGCTGCATCCTCCTGCAAATTCTTGGGGGCCTCAAAAATCAGGTGGTGGCTGTGCCTCTAAGACATGCAGATTCCCCTCTTCCTCCGCCTTTTCACTCGACATCTCACTTCGAATTGAGTATTTTGCACCAAATTCTACAACTCCATCACGTCCTAATCTTCTAGCAACGTTTGCAAGAAACCTCTGTTCATATCATTGAACAGCGCTCCGGCGCAAAGAGCCTACACGTTCTCAGTGCTCGATCCTCCCTGGCATCATGGCTCATCAGCCTCAGAAACGACGCTTGACCCTGAGGTCTGCTCCAGACCATAGAGAGCACAAGTCGCAAAAGACATCTCGTACTTCGTATGAACAATATACGATCGCCTGGATCTGTGCACTACCAAAGGAATTGACTGCAGCTCGAGCTGTGCTGGATAATGTCCACGAACCGTTGCCCAAGCAGAAAAACGATACCAATTCGTATATACTTGGCAGCATAGGATGCCACAATATAGCTATTGCGTGTTTGCCAACTAACGAGTATGGAACAAACAATGCGGTAAACGTGTTGACTAATCTTACCCGCACGTTTACATCGATTTATCTTAGTCTTATGGTTGGGATTGGAGGCGGGGTCCCGGCTGAAGACTTCGACATTCGTTTAGGCGATATTGTTGTTGGTACCCGCGTGGTGCAGCACGATCTCGGCAAGATAACCGGAGGAGGACAAATTCAACATACTGCAGTCCCAAGGACTTTGGCTCATTTGATTGGCAAAGCCTTATCGCTTGTTCAAGCGGAGCATCAACCACATAGCAGCCGGATTCCACTCATATTAGAGGAAAAGTTCAGAGAGCATCCAGCCTACGCCCGTCCAATTACAGCAGATCGCCTTTTCTCCTCAGCATATCAACACAACTCTCGGACACCAACCTGCGATAAATGCAGCCCTTCTGCACTGGTACGGAGAAGCGAACGGAGTACAGATAATCCATACATCTATTATGGTACTATCGCCTCAGGCAATCAAGTTATGAAAAGCTCGACTGTTCGCGATAAGGTCGCCCAGGAATTGAATGCCATTTGCTTCGAAATGGAGGCCGCAGGACTGAACGATATCTGTCCCTCTCTGTCGGTGCGGGGGATATGCGATTATTCTGACTCTCACAAGAGCAAGGAGTGGCAAGAATATGCCGCTGCCACCGCTGCCGCATTTGCAAGAGAATTCCTCGAAAAGCTTCCCCCGAAAGAAGAAATCACCGCAAGTATTGGGCAGCAGGATCAGCGGCTTCAGGACGAAAAGTACAACAAGTGTTTGCGGGATCTGCGCGAGACTGATCCTCGTGATGACAAGAGCCGTATCGAAGAAACAAAAGGCGGACTTCTCGAAAATGCGTACCGCTGGATTCTTCAAAACGACAAATTCCAAGAATGGTACAATGCCACACAGAGTCAGCTTCTATGGATCAAAGGCGATCCTGGCAAGGGTAAAACAATGTTGTTATGTGGACTCATCAATGAACTTGAGAAAGAGCACCGTCTCTTGTCCTACTTCTTTTGTCAAGCTACTGAAGCACGTTTAAGTAACGCGACAGCCGTACTCCGTGGTCTGATCTACCTTCTTCTTGTTCGACGTCCTCCGCTCATTTCTCACATCGGGAAGAAGTATGATCATGCGGGCAAGCAGCTCTTTGAGGATGGCAATGCATGGCAAGTTCTATCCAAGATCTTCACAGCAATGCTCGAGGACCCAATAGTAGATGGTGTGCTCCTGATTGTTGATGCCCTTGACGAATGCAGTACGGACCAAGAGAAGCTTCTTGATTTGATAATCAGATCAAACAATGTCAAGTGGATCGTGACCAGCCGCAACTGGCCGGAAATTGAACAGGTCCTAGACCGTTCCACGCAGAAAGTCAGGCTACATCTTGAGTTGAATCAAGACTCAATTTCCAGAGCCGTTCTGGCTTTTATTGAATGGAAGGTAGAGGAGTTGACCGAAAAAAAGGGATATGACGCACAATGCAAAAGTGATGTCAAGAGCTATTTAGCTGATAATGCTGATGGCACGCTCCTATGGGTCGCTTTGGTTTGTCGGGGACTGTCGGAACTCAAGGTGATCCGCAACTGTCACACCAGACAGGTGCTGGAGGAATTCCCAAAGGGACTTGAACCGCTCTACGAAAGAATGATGGGACACATCAATCTATCACGAGATAAAAAGATATGTAAAGAGATACTCGCTCTTGCTTCTGTCGTGTATAGACCAGTTACCTTGACTGAGTTGAAAACTCTTCTGGGGTCACAGTACAAGGATGAGGATGGTGACCTCAAGGAAGTTGTTAGTTGCTGTGGTTCCTTCCTGACACTTCGAGGGGATGCTATCTATTTCCTGCATCAGTCGGCCAAAGACTTCTTGGTCAAAAAGGCATTACACCAGATTTCACCGTCAGGTCTTGCGTATCAACATGAACTGATCTTCGAGAGGTCATTGCAGGCACTATCGGAGACTCTGAAACGTGACATTTGCCAACTAGGCCACCCAGGGTTTGACATCAATGACATCTCACCGGAAGACCTCGAGCCACTGGATTCGATTCGATACTCCTGCGTTTATTGGGTGGACCATCTGCGCGACTCTGAACCCACCAGGCTCAGCGACAGTCTGAGAGAAGGTGGTGACATTGACTTATTCATCCAGAATAAGTATTTATATTGGCTAGAATCTCTCGGTCTATTGGGTAGCACAGTGGAAGGCGTAAAAGCCATGTATAAGCTCGAGGATCTGGCTATTGTGAGTTGTTCAAAGCATATTGTAGAAGCAACCTAACAATCATACACAGAGATTCAGCGCACCAGTCTCAGTGACTGAACTGCTTCAAGATGCGCGCCGCTTTATCCTGGCCCATAAGGGATCGATCGAGATCGCCCCATTGCAAGCCTATGCCTCAGCATTGGTCTTTAGCCCAGAATGTAGCCGCATTCGAGAGCTATTTAAGCATGAAGAGCCGAACTGGATGATTCTCATGCCAAAGATGGACAAGAGCTGGGACAACTGCCTACAAACACTCGAGGGCCATTACGGTGCAGTAATGTCGGTGGCCGTCTCACCAGATGATCAGTTTCTTGCATCGGGTGGAAACGACAAGACAGTCAAAGTATGGGATATAGCGGCAGGCGTATGTCGACATACTCTTGAGGGTCATGATGATACAATCTATTCTATCACCTACCTACCAGATGGAAAAAGTCTCGCATCGGCTTCAAACGCTATCAAGATATGGGACACGAAATCAGGATTATGTCTACGAACGCTAGAGGGACACGATTCACATGTGAATTCAGTGGCTTCTTCTCCAGATGGACAGTACCTTGCTTCGGGATCTTATGATCAGACAATTAAAATATGGAATTCAAAAACGGGAAGGTGTCTGAAAACTCTTGAAGGCCACTCTGGCATGGTTACCTCGGTGGCATTCTCACAAAATAACCAGCGTCTTGCGTCAGGATCGTTTGATACTACCGTTAAGATCTGGGACATGAAATCATTCTCATGTCTACAGACACTACAGGCTCACAATGATAGAGTAATGTCAGTAGCCTTCTCGCCTGATAGTAAACGTCTTGCGTCAGTCTCGCAGCATGATGGGATCAAAGTCTGGGACACAGTAACAGGCTCTGGTCTTCCGATTCTGGAAGACTCCTCTCCTTTCGGGGTCGCAATAGCTTTCTCAGCGCATGGTGAATATCTCGCTTTAGGTACGAGTGATTGTATGATAGAGCTATTTGATGCAGAAACCGGCACAATCCTAGAGACTCTAAAGGGCTTAGTTCGCCCTGTAACGTCTCTGGCCTTCGCGGCTGATGCGCCGCATCTTATATCAGGCTCAGAGGATGATTTAGTCAGGATCTGGGATGTATCGATCGATGCATGCCCGCCAACAGTTGAAGATCATGATGGATGTGTGAACTCTATCGCCATATCAGCAGACGGTTTGCGAGTCGTATCAGGATCTGATGATAGTACTGTCAAGATCTGGGATACAGAAACAGGAATATGCCTACAGACACTTGAAGGCCATTGCGGCCTTGTAAGCTATGTGGGCTTTTCTGCGGATAGCACACGCTTAGCATCATGCTCATATGACCGGACGATTAAGGTCTGGGATGCTATAGCTGGCACATGCCTCCATACAATACAGGACGATAGGTCGGTAGAATCAGTGGCTTTCTCAGCAGATGATCGATACCTTGTATCAGTTTCAAGGCCTCACATAGCCAAGATCTGGGACGCAGCGACGGGTGAATGCTCACATGTATTTGAGCATAATGATATATTGGCCTCAGTGGCCCTCTCAGTCGACAGCCGGTGTCTCGCAGCCGGCTTTTACGATGGGATGATTAGGATTTGGAATATCAGGGAGCACGATTTCAAAATGCTTCAGGGACACACCTGGCCAATATCATCAGTAGCCTTCTCAGTGGGTTCCCAGTATCTTGCATCAGGCTCGTCCGATGGCCAAGTCAGGATCTGGGATTTAAAAAGAGGCATTTGTCTGCACACAATCTACGTCGATTCAGGCCATCATCGCCTGTCCTTCGACTCGTGGACGAACTCTCAGCTCTATACGGACGTCGGTATTCTGGACTTCGAAGTACCAAACCCAACGCCTAATGTTAACGCCGAGTCAATTGGGATCACTGCCTTACCAGCCTCTGATCGGTCGAGTCACTGTATCAAGATTGATGGCGAATGGATTATGAAGCATGACGAGAACTTACTTTGGCTCCCTCTTAATTATCGTCCCAAAGTGTCGGCTGTCTTTAAATCGACTGTGGCTGCTGGCCTAGATCCAGGTCGAGTACTAATAATGAGATTTTCTGAAGATAGTGGTAGTAGGTCGTGTAAATAGCCCTACTGAGCTTAGATAATCTTCGATTACGTTAAGATTGAACTTCCCGACTTGTTAACGACACCGAAAAAACAACGTGCCGGACTTATACTACAGCTTAAGAGGCAAAGTATTCTAGGTGCAGTCTGTACTGCATAATGTCTACGTTGTGAGCTAGATGTGTTATTGATAACCAAAGTTTGTGACTGAGAGCTTGAATCAGCAGAGAGAACTTAGTGTTTCTTCAAGTAGCCGACAGGGCAGTTGCAAATAAAGATCTTGCAGTTGGTCAAATGACTTCCGTAGCTTGGATCTATAGGCGCTCCTCTATCTAATGGCATTGTGTTGTATAACTATAGGATAAGATGGAGATGACGATAGAATAAAAGATCATCACGAAATGGGGTAAGCTCCAGATCGAGCTTCACTCGACCTTTTTCATCTACCTGTGCTCCATCGTGCGATATTGACAGAGGCTCTTCTCTTTCTGGGGCTTCTAGGCAGTTTTTAATAGCACTATCCTCAGGAAGCCAGAATATTGGTTTCGGAAGCCATGTCTCCGGAGGCTGATAACAACTTGACCCGTACAAGGCCATGAACTCGTCCTCGGTGTGGTCGGGTGAGATATCGTGCTGAAAGTCTTCAAAAGTGGCTGTGCGGAACCAACTTCCACACATACGATCTTTGGCTTTCTTCTCGGTGTCCCAAAGGCTCTTATCGAAAGTTGATGGCGGGAGATCTCTCAGACTCTCAGTTGAAGTCGCAACGGTTGAAGATGATCCATATTGGTCTATGCCTCCAGCCGCAATATCTTCGCCCGGCTGTAGTCTCTTAGATGCGCCGTCATAATCGAGCGTGCTGAAGCTTTCAATTCGAGGATTCATAGCTTTTCGTAGGAACAGGTGTATGAAAAGAGTAAAAATGGCCAGCAACACGAGAAGGGAAAACTGGCCCCACACGCGATACCTGAGAAACAGCAGAATAAGATAAGCTTGCGATAGATAAAGCCCCAATAGTATATGCATTATTGCTCGAGGGTAAAACCGTCCGGTCGTATCCAGAGTTTCGGTATCATATATATGAACCAAGGTATACTTATAAACGAAGTATACAAATCCGAGACCTATCAGTGCGAAGACGAGGACGAGCGGTGCAATGCAAGCATAGCTAATGGCTGCGGAACGTTAGTGATATCTGATATCTTTGTTGCGTGAGAGACTTACCGATAACCCCAACAGTTGTCATGACTGGATAAACACTGCTCCAATGGACTACATTGAGTTCAAAAGCCCTATCGTAAGTTGTTCGAGGTGTCCCGGGACGTTTACTTCGGGTCATGTTGAGGAATAGCTGCCATAGCTGAATGAGCTCAGTGGCACCAGCCGAGAGGCACCGAACCAAGATATATGACATATACAAGATAGAAGCCTCGGGCACCTGTTGATTTAAGTAAGGGATGTCGCTGAAAAACCCAACAGGCGTAGGTCGGATCATTGGGCCCAGAAAGATTTGTAGTGTTTGGAAGATGAAGTATCTTGTGTGAACGAAGTGTTCGATAGCGGTTAGAGTAGGGACACCTGCGAACTTGGCACATACTCTCATGAGAAATGGGACAAACTCGAGTAAGGCCCACATGAGGAGGGCTCGTCCCAAGCCAGATATGGCATTGACCACCAGCTGAGGGAGCTCTGAAACACCAGGCACTCTGCCTACCATTGGTGAAGATGTCACGAACTCTACAAAAGCAATTGGCATGATCCAGACGATAACACATCCGCCGATCAAAATCGTCACCACGAATTCTCGTAGAAGACGCTCCCACCATTTCATTCTTAGACAGCTCCAGACAATCTCACCAGGTTTGACTCCCATGACCTGGCGGCACATTTGAAATGGTTGATGCTGGTGAATTGATTGAAAGGCCGCCTGGGCACTAGCAAAAGATTCGAATTCGATGAATGCTGCATTCATGTGCTTTCCTTTGCCAGCTTGGTATTCCTGGCGTAATGTGTCGATTTGTTGGTTGAGGAGGTGCAAATCCGATCGAGTAGACTTGACTTTTCCGACTGCAGGGCCGGGCGGCTCAGAAGTAAAGGTGGAACGTTCGTTGATCGAGATTTGCACTTCGTTAGGCTGAATATCGACATCTTGCACCGTTGGAGCTGTCTTTTGGAAAAGTTCAACGTTCTCCACATCAGGGTCATTGGATCGTGCTCGTCTCATCCAGTTCAAATTAGGGAGACTGAACACTAGTCGAGCTGGTTTTCCGCGGTTTCTTTCATTGATCAGGGCAACTTCTTCTTCTTCTTGTAATTGCTGCGCTCTTTTCTCCCTTTTCTTTACCAGCTTTCTCAATCGCCGTGAGGCTCGAGGTATCCAACATTGAACGAACGAATGGCCAAACAGCTTTTGAAACACTTTTTCATTCAGACAGTGTTCAGGAATGGAGCTTATAAGGATAGTTCTGGATGTCTTTCGCTCGTAGTAGCCTGATTGTGAGAGGTAGGAATGCCGTAAGTTGATGTAATAAAGGTGTTCCCGCCATAGGATACATAGGACAAAGACTGGGATCTCACGTTAGTCAAACCTGTCAGGCTAGGTATGATAATGAACTCGCCAGTAAATACCCAGGATATGACGACATGAGCAAAGAGATGATCGGGGTTCTCCAGATTCATTATGGTCAAAGAATTAAGAAGTGGTAAGTCTGAGCACGTCGCGTGTATCGGAAGTATGATTGGCCAAGTGAGGACAATGCCAACGAAGCAGATCAGACATAGGACTTTTAGATATCGCAGAAACAGAAACCCATCTAAAGAGCATTTCGCAAGAACGTAGGAGTCTGGGGCACGGAAGGAGGAGATCCAGCCATTTGGTAATCCAAAAGTAAAAGACCTATTATAGTAAGAATAAATTCCTAGGGGTTTCCAGGGAGTTCCTTGCCTATATAGTGGGTTGATGCTCTTGGGGGAGTATATTCTCGGTAAGCGTCGACGAAGAATCAAAAATAAAATTGAACACAATATCGTGTAGATAATTGTAGGACCAGCAGCTATGAGGAGAGGGCCAACAGAGCTCCTTAGCAACGCGGGTAGGGAAGAGCCAGCCCTCAGCGTGCCTCCTTGAGCTCCGCCCGTCGATCCCTCTCTGGTTTCTCCTACCCGAGTATCGTTGCCCTCGGAACGAAGCTATAATATCATCAGTACAGAGTCGAAGGTCTTTGCCCTGAGTCAACATACCTCAAACATTCTGCTGGCTGTGCCGAACGTTTGTATTGAACAATGGCAACTAAGCTAGTTTCATAAAGAATGTGGCGAAGAGAATTATGATATAAAGAGAAAATCTTCCTGTCATTTTCTGTCCTCGTATTTTCAGCCCTGATTACACCTGCTAAGCCAGTGTCAGCTTAATCCTGGTGTTTCTCGGTGGTCAGATTACCGCAAGGAGATATAACCCCCGCCTAGCTGAAAGCTGCATCGGCTGTCAGCACAGCCGCAGATCGACGAGCCAGTCAAAACTTGAAGGTGCCTCAATGATGCAATCGAAGCGAGGATCTCGGATGTTCTTCGGTGACACTTCGTGTTCAGTGAAACAGTGTCGCAGATGCCTGGGCAACTGCAACAGGGCGTTCTCCCCGAAGATAGGATTATCACAAGGCTCTGATACTATCTCAGTTTACCATTTAACACTGGCTGGAGTAAGCGTTCGTTAATCGGGCGAAATGTAGTAGGTGACGCTCCATTCTAATGCGTCATTTTAAAAGTTCTGGTCAATAGAGCGATTAGAGTAAGGATGGCTGCGATGTTTCACAAAGGATATAATGTTCTACAAGGCTATGTACTCAAATGGTATCTCCGTTCCTCACTAAGAAAGTGATTCGATCACTGTTTTGACCACTCTGTCCAAAGTCATTTGAGGGTCATACGCTTCGATGTAGATAAGAACAGAGTTTATTCCTAATTAACTAATGTAATCACTTGGCATTCATGTTTGTCCTTTTTAACCTCATATCCCTATCTTCAGAGTAGCACGAGGGCCTGATGAAAACGATGGCAATCACAACAGTTCAGTTGGTTCTTACATGTAAGTCTTTCAACAGCTCCAGCCTGCACGAAAGTGAGCAACAATTGTTTTTCCGGATTCCGCTTCCAATCGCCATCAGGAACTCTGCACAGATTCGTTCCTAGGCATCAGCCCGCCGCTTCTACATCCACCCCCGCAAGTCACAACCATGACTACGCAAGATTCTGAGACCATCGATACCACAGCCACATGTTCCATCTGGGGCGACTTCGTAGACTCAGACGGTGAATGTGACGTTGAAGATGCATGCGAACCTATCGACCGTTATGAAGAAGGACTTTACCTTCCCATCTGTATCGGTGAGGTTGTCGCCGACAGATATCGAATCGAGCACAAGCTAGGTCATGGCGGATTCTCGACTGTCTGGATGGCCCACGATATGGATCAGGGAAAAGATGTCGCCCTTAAGATCATGACAGCGAACTTCGGGGGTGAGCGAGAATTTATTAGGCAGAATGAGATCATCAATTGTGTGTTGGACACCTCACGTCTGTTGATATACCAAGACGCATTCTTGTTACCCGGCGCAGGTATAAATCCCCACCGTGTTCTTGTTTTCCCTCTCAAAGGCCCCAATCTGAGAGATTACGCACGGGAGACTTCTACAATTATGCGCAGATCAGCTGCCAAACAGCTACTTCAAGCACTTAAAGCACTGCACGATGGTGGAATGGTACATCGAGGTTGGTTCCATCTCCTCAACGCTAATATCCGCGCAAACTGAACATTTTCGACAGACCTCAACAGTGCCAATGTGATGTTTGGTCTTTCCTCGTTTGAGACTGGTGCAGATATATCCACCAAGTATCAAATTCTTGGTCGCCCTAAGAAAATGGAACTGCCCACGAACCAAGAAATGTGGAAGAATGGGCAATTGGTGGCAACAATGTCTCTAAAGGACAGCTTTGTGGTTCAAGATACCATAACCCTCGGCGACTTTGGTCTCACTATTCGGTCTGGCACCGAAGTAGATTTCAAGCTTCAGGTACCTGCTGGCTACTGCGCGCCTGAGCGTATGCACGGTTTAAGCCCGACTTTTGCATCTGATATGTGGAGCTACACCTGTATCTTTGCTGAGCTCTACCTGAAGTGGCCTCTGTTTGGTGCTGGATTTTTCGGTGGTGGACTTCGCTCCATAGTTGGACTGCTTATCAGAGTGTTGGGCCCTCGGCCTCTGCCGTGGAAAGGCTTGTACGAAGGCAGTGGAAAATCAGACGACAGCTGGTACGATCAAAGCAGAGTTCCGGAGCCTGGAATGTCTTTGGAGTCGCGAGTAACGCAGTCTTGGGATCCCGTTGATCCTGCTGAGCAACAGATCGTGCTCTCGATATTACGGAGGGGCTTTTCTTATCTGCCTGACGAACGAATGAGTGCAGGAGAACTTTTGGAGGATGCATCATTCAAGGCGCTTATGGACATGTACGAACTTTAGAAAGCGCGAGCAGTAATAGAAGCTCATCCCCAGATTGGTCTACGCAAACCAGATCATTCACTCGGTCCTCCTAGGCCATCATCGCGACGGGTTTTGCGAACTGCCGAGAACGGCGCCGGGTGAACCCGCACAAGCTTATCTATAAATAGCGACATGTAAAAATTGGGTTGGAGGATGGAGAATTTGCAAACGTCTCAAAGCTTGGCTTTAGCCAAGAAAACCGAAGGTTTGGAACACAAAATTAGCATACATTCAGCCTAATAAAAATGGTCATGCTTGTCTGCAAGCGACAAAATTATTGCCAGGAGCATGCTTGAACAAATATCTCTCGTGGGAGAATTTGCAAAAATGGACATTGATGTTTAATCTTGCTAGCAGTGACATAGCAGCGCTCGTGATTTGAGGCCATTTTAATGTACTCTGCTAGCTGGTACTAACATTCCGTGTCCCACCAAATTTCTGCAAACTACCCTAAGCTGAAGATCTGCGGAGCAATCATTCTTGCAACCATACTCTCTGTAACAATCAGGCTATAAGGTTAATTATGAATTTGACTTCTCAAGCGAGCTCGATACGAGGATGGCGATTTGTAGTCCTAATCTGGCATGTTCTCCATGTTCGATATCACAGTGAGAAATTCCAGTGACCTCGCGATGTTACGATTGTGGAGTCGATAAAACTTTATGCTCGCAGAGAGAAACCGGAACAAACGTACCGAGGACATATACAGTAAACGAATGTAACCATATCGTTCATGTTCTATCGATATAGGCCTGATGGTATTATCACCGATGCATAAATGAGAAGACACCGTCGACGTTCCAGACGATGGTTTGACGATTGCGTTGAATGGTGACATTTCATCGTAGAGCACCTGAGATCTAATAGCTGCATGTATAAAATACCACTCTACGTTACACTGTTCCTCGCCTAGCCTTCGCCTACAAACTCTCCTCATCGGTTGAACGCAAGGGACTTAAGGTCCAAGTTCTAGAACGTTGATTTATCCAATGCCAAAACAGCATCCAACTGCCGATCACTACCAAACAAAAATCAACGATATAAGACAGCTTTTAACTTTAGCATTGCGTGACCAAAAAGCAAAAAACCTAAACGCTTGTTAAAACAGACCACAAGTCGGCGCCATTAATGTCCGTGAATCCGATGGCTTGAATTCCCTGTTAGTTCCGTGCATAAGTGAAAACCTTCTTGTCTCCCCCTCCCATCAACACGGCTCATCCATCCTTGCACAATGCAACCCCTGAATTGCTTCTGCCGGGTGGTATTCGATCTGAGTGGTCAGCCTCCTCCGCGGTTACCGGGACGTTCCATTTATCGCAATCCGTATTCCGGATCATCCCATGAGACGTGAGATGCATGTCGCTTATGGTGTACGAGATCGATTGGTTCTGAAGCGAAGGAGTCGAGATTTGCGTGCTAACTTGATCAATGCTCTTGACCGAGGACTTTGTTTTCTCTTAGTAAGGTTTAACATGTGCCGAACCCACAGCGCTGAATGCTTAATTTTGCTTGACGGGCCTTTTATACACAGCTTCTAGAAGTGAACTAGACGAACCCCATAGATTAGCAATGGAATCGTAAGCTTGGACAGGTTGTCACTACTGTGGGATAAGATTGACACTGACAGGTCTGCTATTCCCTGCTAGGCAGCCGCGTCGGCCGCGGAAAAAATACAAGGGTGCGAAATCTACAGGGCTGTTAGTAATAAAGTTTAAGCAGTGTAAACTCTGATTACAGGAGGTAGCATATTAATTCGAGCTCAATATATTTCTCTGGGGTAACTCGTCTCGGTTAAACACGTGAAACACAACCGACACTTGTAATAAAGTGTATATACAATGCATTACAGATATTCTTCCCCCAAAAATGACGAGAGAAGAGGAAAGGTGTTGTAATGGCCCCTGTAGCTGACATGGTTCGATGAATGGAGGGTAGCGAAACGCGGTTGACCTCCCTGTTACGCGGTCACGAAAGGGGTAAAGGATCGGCAGTTGAGGTTGAGACTTTTGAAGAGCGCTTGATTGGTTTCCGGACCCCGGATCGACGTAATCCGCCGCACGGCTGTTGATCCCGACCCCCACCCAGCGAAGGATTTACCCATCTTGGCTCTCTGATCCCACCCAGAGTCCGAAAAATCATAAGATAGCGCAAGGATGGACCCTGAAATGAAAGAAAGCCTCAACGGCTTAGAGCAAAGTAAATCTCCGGGTCTGATGTATTTTGACGCAGGGGTTATATCAAAGGATGAGATCCTGTGAGCTGCCATCCAACACTGTTGCGTGTTCTGGAATTGACCTGTAAGTCTAACGTGGCATGAACAAAGAGGACTCGGTGGTTTCTTATCGAGTCCTGATATGCCCGCTTGAGATAAGTTGTCTCCCGAAACACATGTCTTATACGCAGGGTCGGGGAAAAAAACAAGGGAGTGCATGGTCCCAGTCGCATCATTGCGTTAATTAGATACCAGCGAGAAGCTTTATCACCCTAATCCACCCCATTCCTCAAGCTTGTGGCTTTGCTTTCATGTGTTTGATCTGTAATTCCCCAATTCCTCACAAATCGTCGAGATGCTTTTGCCTCGTGAGCATGAGACGCCGTTTAACAAGGCGCCTGTTATCCGGGCGCTGTCGATGATTCTCATGATTGTCACCATGTTTTCGGTGTTTATTCGTGTTCTTACGCGGATTGCTACGATGAGGAGATTGCGATGGTCGAGTCTGTTCAAGTCGGATGACATCCTGATCTTTGTGTCGATGGTGAGAAATTAAGCTTTGATCGCTGATGATCTTGACACTGACATTTTAGATCTTTGTTATTGCTCAATCGGCGGTCGTTTATTCACAGGGCGCGAATGGGATGGGGAAGCTTGATGTGTCTTCTGGGCAAACATCGTTAATCCTGAAGGTGAGTTCAGCAGGAAATGTTTGCAACTGGTCTGACGGTATCAGGACCAACTCGTATCCGACATTTTGTTTTATCTGGCATTGGCCTTCTCGAAGATCTCAGCCACGACGACCGTTGCAAATATGTCACCACTATCTCACAAGCGAATACTGCCGATCCAAATCATCATAGTAGGCTGGGCCATTTCTGCGATATTTGTACGGGCATTCGCGTGCTCATTACCATCATCTTGGGACTACATCAACGGTTCATGCGTCGATCTGGTGGCATTCTGGGCATACGTCGATGCTGTCAACGTTATTACCGATCTTCTCATCACCGGTGTCACAATCGAAATCCTCGTGCACCTGCAAATGCCAATTGGCACAAAAGCAATGGTGGTTGGTGTTTTTGGCTCACGCATTCTGTAAGTCATCTACGCCACGCATCCACACAAACTAACAGAATCTCAGGATGATCCCTCCCGCCGTGTCTCATATCTACTTCTTCAAAAAAGCCCTCGAATCATCCACCCCGATCTTCACAATGTGGGAGCCCACCGTCATAGTACAAGTGACCCAGTGCATCGGTATCACCACCACCTGCATCCCCTTCTGGTGGCGCTTCCTCAAGAGTCTCGAGTCAGGCCAGATGGGCGCAGGGGACATATTCGGCGCCCTCAGCAAAAGCAACAATAGCAAAAGCGGCGGGACGACGAGAGGAACGGGGAACAAGTCTAGGTCCAACCACACGCTGACGTCGGGGTCGCAGGCTTTCGAGCTGACGAGCAGGCAGGGGGATGTGAAAAAGTTTGCGCATATTGTGACGGATCATGGCAAGGGAGGAGGTTCGTGGGATGCAGCGCGGCAGAATAGCCAGGAGGCCCTTGTTGATCCTGCTGCTGGGGTTGCTCACTGACCACTCGGATCTTAATTGCGGTAGGTACCGGTATGTTTCTCTTTAGCAATGATAATGCTGCCGTTGGGCGCGGGCCGAACCCTTGTCAATAAAGTGGGATGGTTTAAATGGTGTGGCGCAATGCATGTCCCTAGCGTACCTGGTGAAGATAACAAGGGTCAAAGACCTCAGTCCACTCTCGTTCGTAGTTTCACCCTACGATATGCATGTCTCATGCAAGTTGGGAATACCTCCCCTACTCGGCTGTAGCGCCAACAGGTGGTTCTCCTCGCGTTCCACCTGCACCGTTACCACGAGCGATAATACCGCCAGGGATAGGATATGCAAGTTCGCCGAACTGTTTGTCATATCTGACAGGCATGGGAGGGTTGTATTTAACTTTTTTTGCTGCAGACGGAGTTCCTTTTTAAACTTTCCCCAACTCCCCTCCCCCCATCTTGAGGGTCATTTATTTGCAGCGCAGACTGCAGACTTTCTTTTTTATCAATTCTGACCCATTTTGACGACGATCAATATGGCTACTCAGTACGAACTCAACGATATGCCTGCTGCGAAACATCCCCGATCGACGGTCGAAGATGCTTCGGTGTCAAGTGATCAAGATCACATGGACAGTGCGCAATTGGCGAAGCTTGGAAAGAAATCAGTCCTCAAGGTATGCAACACCAATTGATCCTGCTGAAACCTCATTGACACAATGTAGAGAAACTTTGGAGGATGGACGATTCTAGGCTTCAGCTGCGCCGTCCTCGTCACCTGGGAGGGAACCCTCATGAACTTCGCTCCCGGTCTCAGCAACGGAGGCAGCGCGGGTCTCATCTACGGCTATATCTTCGTCTGGATCGGTGTCCTCAGCTCCTTCGCGTGTCTCTGCGAACTCGTCTCGATCGCCCCGATGGCTGCTGGCCAGTACCACTGGGTCGCCATGCTTGCGCCTCCACGATACGCGAAATATCTTAGCTATATCACGGGATGGATGAACTTGGCTGGATGGCAGGGAACGTCTGCTGCTGCGGGTTTCCTCACTGCTACTATGATCCAGGGCCTGGTTATCTTTACGACGCCGTCTTATGACGCGAAAACGTGGCATGGTAGTTTGATGATCTGGGCTTGTGTCCTGGTCGCTATCATTATTAACACTGTTGTCAGCGCTTTGCTTCCGATTCTGGAGGGGATGA